AAATGCATAAAAACAAAAATTTATCTAACTTTGTTAGTCATAAAAGAAGTGTAAATTTAAACTAAAGGTAAATAACCCTACATATCTACCAAGTTGTCTGAAATTAGAAGAATTAACCAAATGCTAGTGAGGAAGCAGAGAAATAGAAAATATAATACATTGTTGGTGAGAGTACAAATAGCATTTGGAAAACATTTTAGGCAGTTTCTTATGAAATTATATATACATCTCGCTTATGATCCAGCAAGTCCACTCTTAAGTATTTATTCACCCAAGAGGAAAATATATGTTCACAAAAAAAGATTTACACAAGAAGTTCAATGCAGCTTAATTAATATTAGCAAAATACTAGAAACAACTCAAATGTATCAGCAGGAGAATGGGTAAAAATATTGTGCTTTATTCATAAAATGGAATACTATCCACCAATAAAAAGAAATAACTTTCTGATATTTACAACAATATGAATGACATTTATGTTACAAAAATAAAAATACAAATAGCGAAAGAAGCCAGACATTGGAGTGCATATACTATTATTTCATTGATATGAATTTTGAGAAAACAAAAAAGTAATCTCTAAGGGTGAAAATCAGTATAATGGTTGCCTCCGGAGAGGTGAGGAATTGATTCTGTTTTCTAGGATGATGGACATGCTATATATCTTTACTGAGGTATGGGTTTTTGTTTTTGTTTTTTTAGACAGAGTCTCATTTGTTGTCCTGTAAGAGTGCCATGGCGTCAGCTACTCAACAGGCAACTCAAACTCCTGGGCCTTAAGTGTGATGCCTCCTTGCCTCAGCCTCTCAGTAGCTGGCTACAGGCATGCACCACCATGCTCAGCTATCTTCTATTATTTTTAGTTGACCGATTATTTCTTTATATTTTGTAGAAACGGGGTCTCCACTCTTTCTCAGGCTGGTTTGAATCCTGACCTTGAATGAATTCTGCAGCCTCAGGCTCCCAGACGTGCTAGGAGTTAAAGCGTCGAAGCCACCGCGCTCTGCTGAGTTAATGGTTTCATTGGTTCGCGTATATATTTGTCAAATTCATCAAAATTAGCAATTAAGTTCTGCCGCATTTACTGTGTAATATATCTCAATTATAAAAAAGAGAAAAGGAGGAAGTGAGAAGGCAGGAAGGACCAGGAGAGGGAAAGGACAGGGAGGA